AATTCGTGTGCGTTGATCCCGAATCATCTCAAATTATAAATTTATTTGAATGAATTATTGTATGAATCATTGTAATGAAAAATTGAAAATTCAACTAATCTGACATTAATCCAGCTTGATATTTCTCTTACATTAAATTTACTGATTCAAACGCATTGCTACATAAATGCGTGTAGCGGGTAGCAGAGTAAACAGTAGTAAAACTTAATATACCTTTAAACTTGAACACTTATATGTGTTCTCTTGAGTGAGCAATAAAACGATTTACGCTGCAATGAAAATGAACATCGTTCTTTTTTTGCATATAAGGTATATGAACATTTTTTATTATAATAGAACGAATCATAGAATTTTTGATATAATGTCTTGAAAATTAATCTTGGAATTACTTTTGATGAATGATAAAACGTTCCTCGTAGATTTGTAAACACGAATGTTCATTTTTTATACGTTCAGTGCTCGAAAATGAAAATTTAACCGAGGCCTTATTCAGAGTTGATGATGGCTTTTAACTACTTAATTCACTTTTTTTTGCTTTAATCACTTCTTGAAAAACAGTATTAGTTTTTTTTAATCAAGTGTAAGTATTCATTCGAAAGGTTACCTTTTTTTCTTTCAGAAGATACTTTCAGACAATTTTTTTTAATTCTTGTACAATTTCTATAAATGAGCAAAGTGAAAATTGTTTTCAGGCGGCTCATAAACTGACTTTACCCTAATAGAAGAAAAAAATTAAAAATGCTATTATGGATATGATATAAGAATGATTGAAAAATCAAGGTTCATCGAATGTATTCAAGTCTTGAGTAATATTGAGAATGTACTTACATTGAAGTTGAGCAATGAGATGCTTTTATTCAATTTTTCATTGTGCCATGCGTCAGATTTTTTACGATAGTAAATTTATAAGTTTTTTAAATATCGTTAGATACGTCTTTTCATTTTTGAAACTTTTGTTATTATTAATTAGAGACAAATTTATCACATGAATTTGAATGAAACACGAGGGAATTGTTAAAAGACTTTAACTTCGCAAACGAAATTATCATGCACGTCAAGTGATGACATTTTGATATTTAATTATAATATTCTGTATAGATACGAAACACATTTGGAGCATACGTGCCATTATAAATTGCAGGAAAATATGTTATTTGAACGTGATTCGTTCTAATCCGATGTTACGTATAATTTTGTGTGCATACAGTATCAGCGTCAAAAGCAATTAGCAACCATTACCATATTAATATTATCTCTCTACCTCTGCCTTGTATACACATAATGCTTACGAGAGAGTGCGCATTTACATGTAACAAATACTCGTTAAGGGATCGATTTACATAATACACATATGTATAATAAATTTTATACACATACATATGTATAAAATCGATTTGACCATTGATAATTATATATTCCTAATTGGCGCACAAATGTAACTGCGTAGTTAAAAAATTAATAGTAAAAATCTTAAAATTTTCACAAGAAAATTTACGTACTTATAATTTAATCTCACGTGTTATCACGTGCAAAGTGACAAAGCTGCCTAAAGGAAAGACAGTGTTGCACCCCAGCCTGTTGATATTAATTTGTTCATTCTTCTTTTTCATCTCTTATACATTTTAACACGCAGTGCAGGGATGTCATATCTCGTATCACATGTATATTCAATGCATACAGCTGCAGTACTTAAAAAAAAAATTCAGCTCCCCTCAATAACGAAAGCGCGTCAAATATGAAAATGATTAATTTTTTAAAAAGCGTAAGAGAAGAAAAAAATACGTCATTTACAACCGGTGACGAATTATAACGGGCACATAACTTTTATTGCTGCTGCAGGCAGTTTGCTATAATCTGAATTAGATTTATGTTATACCGCGTAAAGCCGTGAGTTCTGTCACTGTTAGAATCACCAGCGTCGATTTGCTTGTGCGGATATAGGTGGAATGTCAACGATTCACAGACAATAAATGCAGTGATAGTTGAAAAACGATCGCTCAGAGGAGGGCTATGAATCGACCGATCTAATAGTAATCGTTTAGCACAAGCTGTAAAGCTTATAATTTACACTTAAGCATGGAGGGCCCTTTTGCAGAATTCTAATCCACCTGCGCTTCCCATGAATATTGTACGTGCATCAGCTTCTCTTGTGACACCAAGTAATACATGTATGCCTCCGACATGTGTACGCGTCTATTCTCTCTCTCACTCTTTCTTTCTCTTTGTTACAAAGACAGCCAGACAAAGAGTGCATGCGATACACGTCAGTCGCAGAGAGAGTGGTAGAATATCTCTTCTAGCTTTGCGTATATGCGATGCGCAGCATGCGCTCCAGCAAAACTCGTCTGAATTTCGGCTTTTCTAATTCATTCACTCTCTTTTCTTTTTTCTACCTGTAAACTGTGTAACATCTCTCTTTCTACTCTTGTACATTTGTCTCTCATCCAGAATGAAATTATCCTCGCGCTTCTTCCGGGCATTTTTCGTTACTTTACATTACAACATAAAATAAAAATAAAAATAAAGTTTTTGCATTAATGTACAATTACTGAAAAAAATTTTGAAGGTGTTATTTCAGTCTCTTAAAGCTATATCCATTTCGTCGCGAAAAACTTTTTTGTTTTTCCTTTTTTCCTCATTGTAAAAGTAATATATAATCGTCGATTAAGGATAAACAAGAAACGTGAAATGCAGCCAAACCTGTCAAGTGTTGGTTAAAGAGATCAGTGTGGATAAAGTTTAGAAAGTGAGTTGAGCTCAAGCGCAAACGAGCAATCTTTGACAAAAATTTCGTCATGGTCATTTTATAAAATTCATTTAAAAAGTATTAAATATTAAATATACTATTATGCAATAGTATACTTTTAAGCGCCCAAAAAGCGTTTTATGTATCAAGTACCCAAAAAGCATTTTTGGGCACGATAGTGCCATGCGGAAAAGGACACGAGTGTCCGCAAAAGGCAAAAAACTGGGTACGCGTTGCATACAAAATTTTATGCAATAGTAAAAGCCACTCGTGCCAGCATTATAATCGTCATTCGTGTCTCTTCTCGTGCCAGCGTAGCCGCACGATGCACTACCTGCGGTTGTTTCAAGCACGATCAGCGGTATTGTTTAACCGATAATGTGTCGTTATTTAACTCATCGCAAAACTATATTTGTAAGTCCAATTTGAAAAAAAACGCACCAAAATCATATTCATTTACTCGCGAGGATCTTAATTCAGTGAAAATTTCCCGTGGCACTTTTTGCTTTTTTGCGCTCGTAAAATCTCTACAAGCATCCTCATCTTGTTGTCGCGTAACATGTATCGATTTTCCATCGAATAAATTTACCTGTATGCGTACGTGTATCTATTGGTTTGTTGACCGACAGTTTGGATGGCTTATTGCTATTATTCGCATTTCACTATCAAGATACATATTCATATATCCAGAAGGAAATTGCAAGTCGTGGCAATATGTGTGTTCATAGAGGCATGGTTATTGTTGCAGCAGTTTTATCAAGTATGCACTCGACGAAGCGATGTTTAATTGTTTCAACCCCGTGAGATATAGAACGCGCAGCAGCGCGAAGTGCAAGTTTTTGATTGAATTATAAAATCCTTGACGTTTATTACTAATAATAATTCCATAAAAACTACAATTTTGATTAAAAAAAAATTTTAAAAATTGACAAATCGTAAAAAAAATGAGTTAGTAATATATGAAACGTATAATACGAATCTCGTATCGGCGCTTCAATGAGTTTAAAGATTTATGGCAGCTTGAAGCTGGAAAATAGGTTACTATATGTTATCATGATTTTGTACGGTACATGTATTTGATCTCAATAAACGATACTTGCCCTTGTACGATGCTGCTGAATTGATAGGCTATCGATGTGCTCATAGTGTGGAGCTGTATATCACCATAGCAACGAAACAATACGATCAACCTTATACCATCTACCCGACTATTCTCTTATGCACCGCAAGTCTATAGAGCGCATATTCATACACAGTATTTGAGGTGAGCATGTGCTCGTGTTACGCGAGTAAAAGACAAACGACTTACTGTACACTTCCTAATTCCACACTGCTCTTTGCGATTCACAAGAGACAGGGATGGAAACATATTTTTGATGGGTTTCGCACCTCGCAAAAATTAAATTACACAGACTGATTTATGATATGAGTGAGTAGTTTGCGTATTACGTTGTGCAACTTGCACAAAACAAAACAAAAGGTGTTGAGATAAATATCAACACTATGAAGAGAAATAGGAAAAACAACAAGCATCGCTCGGCATTCATGCAAAAATCAATAAATTGTTTACTTGCGTTGCCGAAGTGTACTTTCCGGAGCGTGTGTATATTGGCGAAAATCCTCAAATGCGCACGGGAGTATAACGCAAAGAAAAAAAGTTAAATAAAAAAAAGTTAAGCGACGGAAGAAAAAAAATAACCCACAAGACGTTCATTACGTGACAGGAAAAAGCGGAAGTTCATACGAATAGTCTATGTACTTGTGTATCAAAAGAAAAATTTAGCATTCAGGCGATAATCTCCTTTCTTTTACTTGGAAAGTCCAATTGAAAAATTCTTTCCACAATTAAACAATTTTTTTTTAATTCAAAGCCCCTTTTGAGCCCTTCATTTAAAAAATTGGGAAATGAAATCATACAAATGAAATTTAATCCCGGTTATGTGAAAATTCTCGTAGATAATTATAACAGCATTCCTTTATATGTACATGTAGGGCCAGAGGAATGTATAACGCTGATTATAGCAAAACCAAAAACCTCTATTACTTGCTAAATAATTCTGTTATGCAAACATCTGTTGAGAGCTGAATGCTTTCAAACTTTAGACAAATATATTACGATTGCTTGAAGGATTTACACACTGTTATGCTTGTATAAACTTAACATGCCTTTATTATAAATATGACAAGTCCGATACAGTTAAATAATCTAATTGCACTTTTGAAATTTCCAATTTAAACGATTTTATTTTTACAGGATGAGGTATTATCCATATCGGAAAAGGTCGTCATCCGTGTGCACGACTTGGCGACGTGCCTTTCCCCGGAACTCGAGTGGACTTACGGCCGATCTAACGTCTTGCCACCAACGCCACCGTCGTCTTTGGATGCCAGTCCATTGCATCCGCAAACCCTAACGAATCCAGGTCTGGATTTTTCCGATGTCGAACGCCACCTCAAGGACCTCGAATCGAACACGCTACTCACGAGACGAAGCAGCGGCAACGACTTGTTGACCCAAAACAGCCGAAATCAGCCAAAGGTCGTCGTACTCTCTTATGCAAGGTACTGCCGTTATCGGGCGCTTATACGAAGACTCGAGGGCTCCGAGTCCAAATGGGCCAGCACAGAGATGGCGGCGGCCCTGGGTGGTTTCTTTGCATCAAACGACACAAAAATACTCTTCTGCAGGGATACATTCGATTATCCAGATCTAGAAACGCACGAAATGCTGTGCAATCATTTGGGTGAGTTTTCCTCAAGAATCAATGACCCTTAACTTCGTGTCATGTAGCATCGTGAAGATCTTGTGTACTTATCGTGTACGAAACTAATTGTGTACGATTGAATATTTTTCTTTTATGAAATGCATTGATACGATTTCGTGTGTAAACGCCTTATTTCAACCGTGCGACGCAGAAATTCAGTAAACAACGCGTCACTGCTTAAAGGGTCGGATAGTATAGAGAGCTTGAGAGGTTTTTTTATGCACACATAACCAGTCGCTGACGCGCGCCTGCGCGAAACTTGTATCGGCATGTAAACACACGTGCGTTTGACTGTTCGAGACCGGCCGCAACGCTGCCAGTTCGTAAATAGTACATTACGTAACTGAGGCGGGGGGTTGTCTATCTTGCAAGAGTGTCAGTTTGCAGCCCGAGCGCAGCGAGGGTTGCATTGACACGAGTGCAAGATTGATAACCACCTCAGTTACGTATAGCTTTTTTCATCATCGAGTGCAGGAAATCGATTTTAAGATTTTCCCGCACGCCGCGCCGTGCGGGAAATAGCACTTCCCGCACGCTGTGATGAAAATATACTATATTCTCGCCAGTCATCTACTTATAATAATAGTTAATGCAATTTTAAATAAATTGTTACATATAATTTGTGCACTCAGAGTTTTCGCGACAAGTACATTTTATTAATTAAACAGAATGACTATTTTTATGATAATCCAAAGAAATCGAATAGTACATTTCCAAATTGATGCCCAAAAACCTTAAAGTAAAAATAGTGAAAGTGTAAAAAAATATATTTCATCTGCTTCAGTTCTATTGGTTCAATATAAATTATGAAATTATTAAATGTAACATAGTTGTTAGTATATTTGTAGATTTGAAGTTTATTTTTGCTTTAGTTTCTTTTAATATTTTTGTGATTAATGTTTAATTATACTTCACTTTTTATAATTCAATTATTGATTTTTAATGTTACTTCGTGATTAAAATAATTGCATTTGGCTATATACCTGAACTATGTACTTACATTGAGATGAATAATTATAACTGTTATTTTATTAAAAAAAATTCACATTTATGTTGAGTTTCATTATGCTTAGTTGCTAAAAGTTAAAGAAACGAGACAGAGAAAGAATTTTGGTACAAAAATTGTCGATAACTTACAGAAATGTGGAAAAAATATGTGTCATATCATTTTCTATAGAATCGAAAATTCGTAGATGAACACCAAAGCAAATAATATGTCCCTGATCAAAATTAGGTCGCATTATATTTACTGAATAAGTTGTAAATATTCGCGGTTTGCATTTTACGCCTGATACGTGGCCTAGTTAACATCGTATAATTTTCCCTTCAAATCCTTTCAATAACAACTTTTTTGTAACAATTACACATTCTCCATATCAAGTATCGAGAACTCGTATGAAATGTTTACGTATCATTACACACGTTCTTATCTCGTACGTTTTCTTTTTTGTTCTCATTCTTATAATAATTCATGTAAATCTTGAATCTTAGATCTAAATGAAATTTTTAAAATGCGGAATTATTGAAGTGCTTCATTGGCACGTATATACTTTCCCTATAAATTATTCCTGGTAAAGAGCTAAATTGTCTATAAAAGTATGTCGATGAGTTTAACGGCTAGAGTTCAAATTTTTATTCGGGTAAAAATCGTATATTTCCAAACTCCGCCATCATGTCTAAATTTGATTACTTCAAGCTTTGTTTTTTTTTAAATAATATTTGTTTATTTGTTTACTTGAATAATTTTTTATTCGTGTATGAATTTGACAGCGATTAAGTTTTATATGTTTACAATTGATAAGAATAAAACGTGAGAATTTTTTAGCACATTATCTTTCACTTTTTTAAAAAAATTCTCAAAGCAAATGTTGTACAAAAACTGCTTTGAAACGATATTTAAAAATGTTTCAATCTATAGTTTATTGTCAATTATTATATAATTCTTAATTTTACAGCACCAAAATTGAAAGGTCGACCAAGACGTAAACGTAAAAAGCGCGATGTCTCGCCCGCTGGTGAATCGAGCAATGAAAGCGAAGCTTCTGTTGCCTCATCTGCGACGGCATCTACCTTCAAAGGATTAAATACGAGTTCGACTATTGAGTGTCGGACTCGGCCACCTTCAAGGTCGTCTAATGCATCGACTCCAGTCAAAAAAGAAAAGAAAATTGGCGTCGAAGAGAAACGATTCGTAGCAGAAATACATCAGTTCATGACCGCGCGTAAAACACCGCTCGGTAAAATGCCATTGCTCGGTTATAAACAGAGTAAGTATGGTATTTTTAAGAGATAAAGAAATCTTTCAAAGAGATGCAGGATTGAATAAAAGATTTCTAATTTAAAACTTTTTATGTTTGCAGTTGACTTATACATGTTTTACACAACGGTCCAAGAACTAGGTGGCTATGATAAAGTCAGTGCTAATCGCCTGTGGAAGTCAATTTATGACAGTTTGGGTGGTAACATTGGATCTACCAGTGCTGCTACGATTACAAGAAAGCATTATGAAAAGTACGAAGATTGATGCAATTATTCAGTTTCATTCAGTGCATGTATTTAACAATATTTTTACTGTTTTTAGACTTTTGTTGCCATATGAAAGAAGTAAGAAAGGTTTGGATGACGAAGATATCAAAACAAACAATGGTGGCAGGCTTTCCAAAACCCCCAGTTTCGAAGCTAGTGATGATTACCCTGATGTAAAGAGAGAATGTCTAAGTCCAGGGGCTACATCAGAAGCACAAAACTTAACAACTGAAAAATTATCGCCATCACATATGGTTGCTCCAGATACGGTAATGATTCGGATTTCTTTTAGTATATTGAACTATTTTCGAGTAAATACTCATTAAAAATCTTAATCTTATTTTTTTTAAATCTAATTGATAACTCTATCGTTGCTCATTGAAAAAATTAAACAAAATGAACTAATGATATCTTTTTCTCCAGACAAATAAGTCACGAAATGAAACTGGAAAATCTTCCTCGTTAAGGAGTGTTCGTGTAAAATCTGAGCGACTCAAATCTTTGAATACAATGATTGCTGGAACTCAGCAACAACAATCAGTTCCCAATTCGCCTACATCACTTACAGCAATAAGTTCCTCAAGTACGTCTTCACCGACGAGTAATTCGCCGATTTCTACTACACCAGCCCTTGAACGACAACTTAATAGTCCTCTTGTTTCGAATCAAGTACGTTTCTTTCTTATTTCGAGTAGACAAGAAAGAATAAACATTGATTAATTTTTTATGAAACGAAATTTTTAATTACAGGTTATCCCATCAAGTTCTCCGCCTGGCCTGCCAGTAAACGCATCAGTAACACCAACTGCTGCAACTTTGACCCCGCTGCCCGAAAAGGACTTGAAAGAAATGAAACTTGATAGCAAGGGTAAAGAAAACATCCCCCTCTACGAAAAAGATAAACCACGCTCACCCGAATTAGTAGACCTCGAAAACGATGCGGAACCTTCTGTGCGCGATAAGATTATCGTTCCGATTGTTCCAAACTTTAAAAAGAGGAAGCTAGAAATTTTGCGTGAAGGTGGCCTTGACATAACAACTGTCGATAACGGTATTAATAAACTACTATTTTATCAAGTTTCTAACTATATTAGTTCATTCGTTTTATTTGATTACATTTTTATCTAACAGATATTCGTCCAAGTGTAATTCAACCAACGACAGTAGTGACAACCCTCAATACTTCAATGGCTACATCAGCCACGGCATCAGTAACATCTCCAACGAACTTATGGTCTGACAAAGCAGGCGAAAAAAGTTTCATGCCCCCGACAAATGCAATTATTCCAAAATTGATAAATGTTACGGTAACTCCAGATATCAGTCACATATTGCCCCTTGAAGCTGAACAGCGCCACCAACAACGACAACAACAACATTCTCCTAAATTTCCACCTTCGCAACCACCAATTTCCAAATCGCCAACTAATCGTGTAATAAACGTTGGTAGTCCGCACAACTCTTCGCTTTTGCAATTGTATGCAGATGCCAATGTACCGGCGCCGCATTCCATTAGCGCGCAGCTCACGCAGAGGTTTGGCGCTGAATCTGTGACTACGGCGAACGGTCGGCCTGTGCCACCGCCTAAAGTCACTCAGGGTATATCGATATTTGGTAACAGTTGTTTAAGTAGAAGAGTTTACGGAAATCCTAATGAAGTTGTCGAAAAAACAAGCCATTCGTCATTAAATATGTTAAACAGGTTAATATTAAACATGATAATATTTTCACTTTCTCTTTTTCCTTTCTACAAGTGGATAATATCACGTTTTTTTAATTTTTTCAGCTCTCCAATTGGTTCACCTATCATGTACCAAGGTCCAAGTACAAGTAATCGTAGTAGTCCACGACCTGCGGATGTATTAGATCTTAGTCGTAAAACAAGCAGCCAAAGTATCCAACAACCAGAGCTTAGTAGAGCAAATTTAGAAATCGTTAAGGTTCCAGTCATACCTCGACCAAAACCACTTAATCTTGAGATTTCATCGTTACGTAAAGAGCGAGAAGGCACTTCACCAAAATTATCCCAAGCTCCAATATCTGGAACGCCGCACACCTTAGCGGGACTTGATTCCCGATCCAAAAGTCAATTTATTACTGGTAAAGCTGTACCATCTACTCGGACTACATACACGGATCCTCTATTGGAAGCTCGAACAATGGTATCAAGTAATTTAGAAATCACTTTGGTTAGTCCCAGAAAATCTGCTAATAATAAGTATCCTGAACAGAACAATTATTCTACAAAAAACCCTGTAAGTAAACAATTTTATTTCGCCATTCATCTCATTCAAATTAATTTAAACGAAAATTGTAAAATACCATTCTTTTGAAGGTATCGAATCCACCACAACAGGTGTTAACACAAAATTCATCTGCGCAACGTGCTAACGGAAAGTTACCTATAAGAGTACTGAGTTCAGAATCTCTAACCAATTCTTACCAATCTCGTAAATTATCGGGCAGCAGCAACAGTTTAAATAATAGTAATAGCGGAAACAATGTTAATCAACGGTCGATGCCACATCAACAACATCCAGTAGTTATCCCAAATATTCCGAATTTGAGTCATCTTAGCGGAGCTAGTAATTATAACAAAAAAAATCCAGAGTCGGTAAATTATGCACCATCAGGAGATAAACGAAAATCTGATAATAAAGACAACCATTACAAGAATGATGTAGAAAAAAAAATAAGAGATGACATGCATAGTTTAGCGACCAAGCAACAGAATAGGTACGACTTAAGATTTTGCAATAATTATAGTTATTGTGAGAGTAAAATTATGTTGCTTAAATTAACTTCATTTTATAGGGAAACTGAAGCTCGGCGACACAGTGCTCCAGTGATGCCAAATTATATGAGTTTTCCACCAACTGCCAACCCATACTTGCATCAGTTAGCGAGTAACATAATGACGCCGAACATGTTACCTCCAAATCAAACCGCTGCGGCTGTCGCAGCAGCTGGAAAGTTTTTGCCTATTTTAGACCCTATGAGTTATCCTTACTTCAATGGTTTGTTACCTGGTCCGCATCTGCCTCCATCAACTAATTTAATGCCATTTTTGCCACCTGAAATGACCGCATATTACAAACATATGTTAGCAGACACTAGTCAACAAAGGTCTGGTGGTGTACACCAACCAACCCCTCCTACATCTAAGTAAATTAACGAAACTACGTCTAAGCACACAGTACAGCAACGTGATCTGTTTTATGTTTATAAGAGACTTGATTTGTTGTGTAATTCCAGAGTTGATTCGAGATTTGGTTCCTTTGTGATAAAACTTTTGAAATATTGCTGTTAAGATTGTTCTTATTACATAATGCAAGTATTATGTGTTAATAATTTTTAAAATGAAATATAATTAAGGTCCGAGAGCGATTGCACGCGTTTTAAAAAAGTTTTCGAATTTTAAAAATTGGTTTTTAATTTAAGCTTGATATTAAAAAACAGTCCATAAGATCACATTCAGTTTAATTAAGAAAGACAAATCTTATTGAAATGGTCACAATTACTCATATTATTTTTAATTAAAAATTTGTTCGATCAAGTGTTATATAAAATAAATAACAAATCTACATTTAACTGAATCAATGATGAATTAATTGATTAAAATTATAAAAATTTTTAACAATAATTTCATTGAGAAAAATCATAGTCAAACTGTTAAAAATTTTAAACAAATTTAATTATGTTTATAATTAAACTGTTCTATAACGCGATTACTTAAAGATGAAAGTTTAACTTAACTCAATATTTAAAAAAACTTAGTAAAATACTTTGGTGAATGCTAATGTGTGTATCTCGCTATCAATCATTAGGTTAATTTGAGGTACTGTAGAGCGCATTATATTTCCTGACTCATTTTCTATGCGCAATGTGATAATATTATGTATTTGTACAAAGCATGAGAATATAGGATAATCGAGTTGTAAATTTGAACACAACTCGCACAAATATCCTGCGTCTCCATTTTATAAGTTACGTAGCCAATTTTCGTCAACGTTGTTGACCGCCATTACGAAATAGATTCATTCATTATTTAAAAAAGAGTGTTTGAAATTATTAAGAATTTTTAAGTGCGTAAGAAGCATGATTATAATTATTAAAAAAAAACGAATCATAATTCGTTACGAAATGCAGACGTAATATGCTATCAACGATAAATCAATTGTAAATGCGTATTATTAAAAAAGGACAAGTGAAAGCTAGGTTACTGGACTAGATAAGCCTGTACATATTGTATATATAGTTTAAATAAAGATAAGGCTAGTTTAATGAAAAGTCGAAAAAATATATAAAAATATATAACGTTGAAAAATAATTTCAACATTTTCTTATTCTATTTGAATAAATGTAATTTTTACAATTATAATTTAATTATAATGATTCAACATTTGTTGTATAGGCCGTCCTCAACCTTGTAGCTCACGTGTCTAGAATGGCGAATTCATCGCTTATTGAAGTTTGAATTAAATGTAATGGTTTTTTTCTTATAAAGTATTATTATGATTTTATATCATATGTTCATAACAAAAAACTTGCTCAAAACAATTTATTAACTAATTTTCGTATACTTTTGTTATAACTGCATTAAGATTTTGTTTTAACTACATACGTTTAAACGGTCTAAGTTACTTCAATTTAGATCAATTGTTGTAACATTATAGTTTTCGAATTAGTGAAATAAAATTATTAACAAAATTGATTGTGTTAAATTTTGTTCGTACAAAGTTAAGTATAATCATGTGAGATTGATGCAAGATTTAATTGTAAAAGATATGTGTTCAATATTGATACATTTTATAAAGACACGTGCAGTTACTTTTTGAATGATTGTATCAGAACTGTAAATATGCGCAAGTTTTACTGAAGAATGAATGCGCAATTTTGGTTTTTTGAACGAAATTATTTACTAAAAAAGAAATGAACAATTGAGATAAATCGTCATTTATATTGATTTCTTCGTTGGTTTTTACGATAAGTGCAACATGAAATGCACTTGTAAAGACTTTCAACTTTTGTAATAACTCAAAATCTATTAATTACTGTAACAAACATTTACAATAAATAATTACAAGACAACCAAAATATTTTATAATATTCATGGAGAAATTTTCCTTTTTTAATATATTTATGATCAAACTAATTAAAAATGTCACTAAGTGTAAAAATACGTATGTGAAAAAAATGTATAAGTATTCTTTGAATTATGTAGCATAGCATGTAGAAAAGGATAACGAAGAAACGATAAATCTGATGTTTTGCACTTAATTTTTAAAAGCTATTATAGATAATTACTTGAGTTATGAGAGAAATAAACAAACTGAAATTTATTATCTACATGAAATTTTCATAATTAAATAGTTAGATGAACTTTTTTCTAATGATATCGATGTCTTTCAAAATATTGTGCGTGAGAGAGTGAAAAGTACAAGTTATGTATGAGTAAATATGCCACAGTAAACACGTTAGTTACAATATTTGTAGTTTTCGTGTTATTAAAATTTTTACGCTAAAATAAAGGGTATTATCATCTTTTTGTACTGCAATTGTAAACGTCCACCACTAGTATGATTTCGATTTTAGAAAATTAGAAATTTTGATGACAAAAGTACTAGGTCAAAGCAAAGTTATATGTGCTATCCGATTTAAAAAGAAAAATTATGCATCCAAACACGTCCGTCGAGAATTGATATCTCTCTTAATACCGATATCTTATGTGGAAGGACAATTAACGATGATAAAATTTATAGTTAAAGATAATAAAAATAAAGTATGAAACTGCAAATATTGAAGACAACAATTGAATTTTTTATTAATTTAACTTTTCCTCTCATGCAACAATTCTGCGATGCATAAAAATGTCGATATTATAGTTTTCGGATGAAGTTTTATGAACCGGCAGTTGTGAAAGCTGAGGTGTTTGAATTTAACGCTTTCTTTTAATAGTAGGTTGATTATTTTCAATAATTTTCTTTTCTAAAAATAACTTTCCCGACGAATTGCACAAAAAATATCAAGGATTTCTATAATTTATTTTATAAAAAGAAGTGTACAGTTTGACAATCGAATTTTCACTTTTATTAACAATGCTATTGTAATACTGTTAAATTTTTAGATACTTTTGTGCTCTTTATTTTCAAGCTGCAGAAATAGGCACTTTAGTCTGACGAGCTAAGCTCATGGGCTGCAGCGGTCCAAAGAGAGCGAGAAAGGATCAACCACAAGGTACCAAGGTACCATGCATCAAGGTAACCTGCATGTATACATATATGAGCTGCCTTGATTAAGCTTGGGCCACGACATAATATTGATTTTTAGGGCGACACTGTCTCAAATCAAGAGCCACAATGTTGCTCCGCAGTAACTGTACCGCGTTGTAAGTACGCGTGGGTAAACGCGCGTAGATACGAAGTATATTAAGGGCTCAAAGGGGCTTAAAATTGAAAAAATTGTTATTTCATTTTAAAGTAGAATTTTTTGTCTCCTTTCCATTGCATTTTTTGAAACTTCAAAATTTTGATCATTCACTGAGATAACAGCTGTTTCCGTGAGCCTATTTGGTACTGTAACTCAATCGGTACGCTCTGAATGTTACGACAACTCAGGTGCACTTTGTAAACACGTAAAACGCCAGAAAACGCAAAAGAATACGAAAATGGCTCACGAAAACAGCTGTATCTCATTGAATGATTAAAATTTTGAAGTTTCAAAAAATGCAATGGACAGGTAACAAAAAATCCTACTCTAAAATGAAATAAAAATTGACCTCACATACGAATATGCTCATATATTATCTTGAAAGTCTTCCAGACGTGTTTACTTTGTGACAGCATAGGTTTGATACATGTCCTCGAGTTGAAAAAAGCAAAAAGCAAAAAATTGGTTAAATTATAAACATATCATCTTTGGGACAACAAAAAGAATTGAACAGTCGCGAAAAAAATTTTTTGCATCTAAAATCCAGTGATTGATATTTTGCCGATTGCCGAAATCAAATATCATTGAAACCAATGGAAAGTCGTTTTGCTTGAAAACTTTTGAAAGCTTGACGAGAGAAATTCGATTAATTTAGATCAGCAAAAGTATATAAATGAACTTGATATTGCTAACCAAGAACACACGGAGAAAAGAAAAAAAGATGACTGAAAAGTTAACCAAGTGAATTGAAAATGGAGAAGAAAGAATGTACATTTGAATACATTGCGCTGACAAGTATAGGATCATATACACAAACCCAAATACGAGCCCCGAGCGCGTGTCACTTAGCTCCGTGCGCTCACGAGCGGGGGCATTGAACGATAAAAGAGTTGAGAGCTCGTGTGCGCGGCATCGGAAGTGAGGGAAGGAAAAGACGGAGAAAATAGACAAGGCGGCATAATGCGTAAAGTTGGAAAGAAAAAAGGAGGTGGTCAAAATAGCAGATGACAAACAGACGATAAGATGGAAAAGCGAAGGAAATTTTTGTATGTATGAAAATACACCCCCAAACCTTATAGAAAAGGAAAGCATTTGTACTTTCAGGTTACGATTAAAACCTTCAATGGAATTATATGCAAAAACTTAGTAAATCATGGTTGATGTACGATGTAGTTGATTAATGTATTCATTTAAAAGATGATTAATTCACTTTTCAGATCAAACAAATAAAACATTCATCTGACGCTACGTCGAAGTGGTTGAATTCAAAAAACAGTAAAGCAACCTTGAACTAGAAATTTTTTGCTAAGCAGCAGCAGAAGTGAAATGAGTTATGAGTATTTGTTGCGTGTAATACATAATACATGCTATAAGTTATTACGAGGCGCAGGTCGAGGCGGCGCAAAACTTGTCGTGCCTCCCTCTCATCCTTATTCAGGAAAAATGCTTTTCTCTCTTTCTTTCTCGGGGTTATATTCGTCCACCCACGCGGCTGTACGGTGCTGCCCCGCGCGCCGCAGCTCCGAAACTTATTCTTTTCTTCGAATTTCTTCGCTTTCATGTGTACACTATAGGCAGCACACAGTTGGCGCGAGACGTATTGTTGTACAATCGCGGCATGTACTGTACACACTTGGACGCAGACACGTATACAGACCCACACAGACATGCATGGCAGAACCGACGCGGTCGAGAAAGAGAGAGATAGAGAGAGAGAGAGAGAGAGAGAGAGACTCGCAGAGAGATCGTCGAACTTTTCTCGGGGGGCATGCGCTGCGCCTAAGCACAATCGAGCAGAGTTTCGCCGAGTTTTCGGAGTGTGTCGCGACCGATGCCCCTGACTCGCCGCTACATAACATACATATACAATCGAGTAAACTGCTTCTGATGTACATGTGTGTTCTCGAAAATAAGCTCTATGCGTGGGTACACATCATACCTACTTTTTGCAGCGTCAATGTGTAACGTATAGAAGTATATGGGCAGGCAAAGGCTCGCTGCACATCCCAGTTGTAAATAAATACACATAGGGTAAACCTGCTAGTTACCGGACACTGCTAGTTTTCGGACACTTTCAACTTTGAGTTAGAATAATAAGAGAACGCTTACTTCTAGCGATGCGCGGTTTTTTTTAATGAATTCAGCATGCAATTTTCTTCAAAATGACATAGTTCAAAAAAATATTTGTTCATTTTATCAATTATAATTAAGTTAGATTTGCAGGCTACTTCAACAATATATGATAAATTGCCAAAATTAACGAAAATCCATTAGTAAGTGGTTTTCGTAAATCTGACTTAATTACTTGAAATTTTAATTATTCATAAAAAAAAACTATTGGAGCATGTTCAGAAGCCTTTTTTCAACAATTTCCCATAGTTTAATTATTTTTAACGGGTCAAATTGAATAAAAATTTTGGTGTCCGGTTATTGACCGAAGAAAATGAAAAAAATTTAGTTTTCGGACAGGTGTCCGAAAACTAGATTTAATAATCATTTTAATATGCTAGTTATCGGACACCCCAAAAAATAGTTTTTATATTCGTTCTCCATCCATATCCTATATAATGAGAGATACACTTATCATATGTGCACGCCAATAATTTCTAAACACTAAATACTTTTCAATTATCTTATTCAAAAGAATGTTCAACTGTTATCTTGTAACTTTAATGGGAATAAATTTATTTTCTAAAAGAACTAATTTTTTTATTTGAAACTTGGTTAATAAAAAAGATAGAAATCTCGTAAATATTTATACTGAACAATATTTATTCTTTCTTCAACGAAATCAACGTTTTAAAAAAAAAAAAAAAAAATTAAAACAAAATAAAGTTACATTGAATCTTTTTTCAAAAAAGAGATATTTTGATACAAAAGTGTACAAAATTTTTGATTCACCATAATTGAAAATAAAGTTTTAATAACATAAGTCGAATTTTATGAAACTAAATAAACAAAAATGCAATATGTAACTTGTTTATAGTGTATTGTTCCTTTGAACTAAAATAAAACAAGACGTCAATTTTAAATTCTTTTTTTATTGTTCTGTATTTTTCAGTTGTTTCACCTTTTAAAAATTTAATTTAGCAAATTATATAAAAATATAGTATAGTTATAGTACACAAATAAACTATTTTTCTTCTACATTTAATAAAAAAAAGAGGAAAAAGAAATTATAAGAAATAAAAAAAGAAAAGAGATTTGGAAACAAAAAAAAAGGAAGAAAAAATTCAAAAAGCCATAAAAAAATTTGACAAAGTAAAAACCACAGTTTCATCAACGAATCAATTAGTAGGAGAAGAACCATTAAAAAAAAAAAAGGGAAATTATTCATGAATTCGAAAAGCCGAAAAAAGAAGGATCGAGAGAGAGAAAAAAAGTTGTAAAATTAAATTTGTAAATAATTTTTTATTAATAACATAATAAATGGTTTAGTATATAATTTTTTAGTTTATTATTTTCATTTATATTACTCACACGAACATTATTATTGATTTACAAGCTAATTTTTAGGGTGTCCGGAAACTAAAAGAAAAGTGTCCGAAAACTAAAAAAAGTGTCCGAAAACTAACATTTTCGGGTTTTTTTAGAAATCCTTCTTAAAATAGCTGAAAAAATTATTTTAGGTAAAAATAAACATACGCATTAGAAAGAGCAGA